GGCCGCCCCTCCCCCAGCCCCTCTCCCATAATTACTGTTCGAGACAGAGCGGGGAGGCCTTCGAAGAGGAGGCGGCTAGGAAACTGCCAGACTTCGGGTACAGTGGGGTGGGGTGAGGTCCCCATGGGGTAGAACCAGCCTTGAACGGACTAGCGGGTCCCAGAATCTACAAATGTCAGAATCAGAACCTGGCTCCCCAATGCACACACTTTATAGATGAGTAAACTGAGGCACACAGAAAAGGCAGGCAGGGGTGGCAACAGGATGAGGTACCCTGAGGACTACCTGGTCAGATTTCACAGGTGCCTCACAGCAACAAAGAAACCACCCCTTCCCCCCTTGGCCCCAGATCTCGGAAGGAGACATGAGTGGGAGCTAGAAGGGTGGGCGGGGGTGAAGTGGGGAGGGGCAGACCCAGGCCTAGTGGACCCCACACAAAGGGTCTGCAGACCCCCATCTCTCACCTCCCCTTTCTCGGTCTCTCTTTGTCTCTCTCTTTTTGTCTTTTTCTGTTTCTGTTTTGGTCTACCCAGTTCTGCCTCTTCATTTTCTTTCTGTTTTTGTCACTTTATGTCTCTCCGACCTATCTCTGTCTCTTTTTCTCTCTCCGTGTGTCTCCCTCCCTTCTTGTCCCTTTCTCCTGGCCACAGCGCCAGGACAGACACCCCGCCGGGACAGCTCCAAGGCGAGCAGGCGGGCTAGCGGACTGGGGCGCAACCCTGGCGATTTCCGAGGGGAAGGAGGCCGTGGGGAAGGCGGGCGGCTTTCGCAGGGCCTGGGATGCGTTCAGGGAAGGAGAAAGGGCGGTGAGTCCCGCCTGCTGGGTTTGAAATGTGCGGAAGGGGAGCGGGTAGGGGGACCTGAGGCGCTTGGAGCTGTGACTTGCGGAGTGGCGCATTTAGGAGGGGGATGCGCCCTGCCGCCTCCCCCCAACCCGCGCGATTTGCCGCCACTTAACCGCTTTTCATTTGCGCAGCGACCGGAACTAAAGGCCTCTCGGCCTGTGCCTAATTACCCTGAGGCCCTCGGCCGTCTCTAACATCCCATCCGGAGTTCTGCGGTGTAGACGCGCTCAGAGCGCTCCGGAGGTGCGACAGGAGCCCAGGAGCCGCGCACGGACCAGGCGGGTCGGTGGGGTCACTACATTGGCCTAGGTAGGAGGAGCTCAGGACATGTCCCGCCATCCCAGTTCATTATCCCCAGTACCCCATGACCGCCAGGCCCTGCGCTCACCCTTTCCACTTTCCTCTGAGAGGGCTATGATTCTTAATCATTTCCCAAAAGGGGAAACCGAAGCTCAGAGAGGTGAGACTGCTGCTGGATGCGCGGAAGTCAGGGAGGCCCGGCTGGGAGGCTGACTGGACTCAATTTCCCCGTCTGTAATTATACTGGCAGCCCGAGGGAATCCCAGACTTGGAAGGCAGGGCACCTGCCTAGGCTGGCACTACCTCCTGCAGTGTTACACACACACACACACACACACACACACACACGACACACAGGACTTCTCACCTACACTTTGTCCTTTTGAAGCCCAGGCCTATCTTTCAGGTGACTCCAAAATGTGCGATTGAGATACCACTAATGGGCCATGATAGTTGCATAATGTGACAGTGAGAACAACCGAAAGTGGCATGTGTTCTTTGGGGTACACCCATGTTGGACTCAATGTCTCCGAAATACATGTGCTGGGGAAGAGGTGGAAGTTGACCAGTATGGCTATATGTCGAATGCCCTGTGTTACCCATTTGACAAGTGCCACTTAGTATCTAATGCAGTGAGGCTATGCCTTTGGCCAGGGAGTAGGAGCTGTGCTCTCTGTTACCTGATGTCACCTACATTGTACACAGCTGTGTGTTAACATGATTGAGTGTCCCTTTGAGCACACCTGGTCATTGCATATGTCATGGGGAGCAGGACAGAGTGGGTCCCGTCCCTACATAAAACTGTCCAGGTTCCTGGTGCCATTTCTAACATGTCACAATGACCTCCCTGCGCACTTGGTCACCTGCCACATACAAAGGAGATATTATTTCCCTATTCCCCCAAAGTGGGGGGAAGCCCAGAGGTGGTTCAGCTAGTCACCTCACTCTGTAGAGGGGGAAACTGAGGCTCATGTGTGGTGCAGGTTCTTTCAATTGTCTACTCAGCCTGGGTGGAGATGAGACTCCTCTCACCCCTACCGGTGCCCCCCTCTTCCCAGCCCCCTGCCTAGAAGGGGGCACAGCCATGGCCCTCCTGCCTCCTTGCTCCACCCTGCTCCACCATGCCTAGTGTGAGCCCCAGCCCACTCCATCTAGGCCCACTTGCCCCTGTATGCAGAGAAGCAATCGATCCAGAGCCCGCGGCAGCTATTGTCCCCGCAGCTGGGGTGGCTGCAGCCCCCTCCCCAGTGCAGCCAGGGAAAGACCCCCCCTCCCAAGCCAGGCCCACTGCAGTGACAGTGGGGGACTCTCTTGCAACCCTACATGCACCCAGGAGAAGGGCCTGGCCAGGCCGCCTCTCTGGGGGCAGGAGTGGACCCAGCTGTTGTCAGCTGGAAGGGAGGAAGGAGTGGGGTCCCCAGGGTGGTGGGGGTTGAGTGTCAGTGTGAGTGAGACAGAGACACAGAGGCAGAGAGAGAGACAAAAAAAAGAGAGGGACATACAGAAAGAGAAAGAATGAGGAGGAACAGGAGAAAAACGGAAAGCATGCAAAAAAATAAATAAAGAGATACACCAGGTTGTTCCAACAGAGAGGAGGTAGAAATGAGAGAAACACAAAAAAGAAAAGCCAGGCGGGCAGCAGGGCGCGCACCCGGGCCAGAAGCAAATGCGCCAGTGGGCGGCAGGCCGGGGTGTGAAGGCCTCCGGACCGACAGCGACGGCGAGGGTCCCCCGGGCTGCCCCTCCCCCGCCCGTTCTCGGGTGACCTTTGCCTGCGGCCGGAGCGGGGGAGGGGGCTATCGATCGCGGAGGCCGAGCTACAAAGATGAGCGCGCTGGGGCCGGGGGTGCTGAGCACCGGCCTGGGTCTGGCCGCCACCGCGCCGGTGCTCAGGGAGCGGTCCCGGTTTTCTGTCCCGGGGCTGGAGGCACACCAAGGGAGCTGTTCGGGAAGAGGGGAGTGGCACCCCGAGCTGACAGCAGCGGCGCGTCTGGGTCACAGCACACACAC